TCCATTTACAGGTTAGTGAGCTCATCTTGTTTACATTTTAATATGGATTGTTCTCAACAGAATTATGACATAAACAAGTGAGAGTAGTACGGTACCTCTGTAAATAAATCAAGTGCAATATCCATTTACCTGTAGCATTGTCTGTCATGCAGCTCGGATCTTCATCTGTGAACTGGGAACATTCGAGTTCCTCTGGCCACTTAATGTTTAACAATGTTAACAATTGTTGGCATTCGTACATCGTTTGTTGACACAGGCTACGACAAGGTTTCGCACTTCCGTCTGCTGTGCACATTGGAGTATACACAGAACATAGAAATGGTAGTATTGTAGGTGAACAACCCACCAGAATCACATTGTCAATTATGGCCGTCAATGCATCAAATTGTGACGTGTGCCCAAGTACATTTGGCAAACGTGTTTGACTGTACGACATATTTAGGCACATAGGTAGAATGATGTCTTCGCAACTACCATCAGGATTCTGGACTTCGGTTGAAAAACCACCATCATAGCAGTTCTCATTTGAGAGAGAGGAGCAGTTCAGAGGTCCTGGCCAACCAAATCCAAACGTTTCCAGAGTTGGCAAACAGCCATCTCTTGCCGCTTCGCAGAGTGATCGACATGGCATCTGTGATGTACTTGCAGAGCAACTTGGAGCATAAGCAGCACAAAGAAACGGCTTCAATGCTGGTGAGCACTGCGTTTGCAAAAGAGGAACAAAGGTTTGTAGTGTCATTTGGGCATCTTGTTGGAAGCTCTGCCCAAACATATTGGGCATCTTCGTAGATGTATAACCTAGATCTTGACAGAGTGAAATCGTCAGAGGTTCGCACTGAGATTCTACTTGGGTTGGCATTGTTGAAGCTGTAAATAAATTGAACAGAAATTTATTGCTACCAATGATCTCTATACCTGTCAAGTGAAAAGGTGTTTGCAAAATAGCAATGTGCCTACAATCATTTAATTATTTGTGCGTGCACATGCGCCAAGGTTTGTTTAATGCTCTGTCCACACATATTGTATATAAAATATAGATGTGATTTGCCCATATGGGCATGGTGATGTCACATTATACCTATATAATAATGGGACATCACATATATTTGTCACATGAACATGATTTAGATAAAGTTTAAGGTAGCATCATTCTCATGTTTCACATCATTTTTATAGTCACGCGTATTGTAACAATCAGTGGTCATGTCTACAAATAATACTATGCTCATCAACAAATCCAGTTACAGAATATAGTAAGCTCGTGGTGTTTACATTTAAATAGGGATTGTTCTCACAAGAATAAAAATAATATATAATAATATATAAGTATACAACGTGTTTGACTGTACGACATATTTAGGCACATAGGTAAAATGATGTCTTCACAACTACCTTCAGGATTCTGGACTTCGGTTGAAAAACCACCATTATAGCAGTTTTCATTTGAGAGAGAGGAGCAGTTTAGCGGTCCTGGCCAACCAAATCCAAACGTTTCCAGAGTTGGCAAACAACCATCTCTTGCCTCTTCGCAGAGTGATCGACATGGCATCTGTGATGAACTTGCAGAGCAACTTGGAGCATAAGCAGCACAAAGAAACAGCTTCAGTGCTGGTGAGCACTGCGTTTGCAAAAGAGGAGCAAAGGTTTGTAGTGTCATTTGGGCATCTTGTTGGAAGTTCTGCCCCAACATATTGGGCATCATCGTAGATGTATAACCTAGATCTTGACAGAGTGGAATCGTCAGAGGTTCGCACTGGGATTCTACTGGTGCTGCAAGTTTAAATTAAAAAGAAAAAAAATAACAACCACATTAGCAGAAAAGCTCAGTCATAACAAATTGAATTAACGTGATCAGATGATATTAATCATCTTCAATGTTTTAGACCAGCAATGTTAGAGTGTTTGGGACCAATGATTTATGGATTTGAGTGTCTGTGCTGGTTCCACTCTGCCTGACATGGCAATCAATTTAAATTTTGTTTCTGAATCATATAATTACAGGCAGAGAAATTTAAAAAGAAAGAAAGAACACTTCCTTCTCGTCTTAACAGAAAAGCTTTTATATGGATTAATTAGACCATGGACCTATAGCAATAAGGTCTAATAGGTTTATGATTAGACCACTAAGCAAACTTCTTTAAATTATGAAGTGTGCTTAAATGGACCTTTCCACTAAGCCAAGCATATTGGATACTGTTGCTAAACGTGTGATCTTAAAC